GTATCATATGTCTAGGCTCTGAATACCAAACTATTGAATAATGCTAAACAAATTCTAACCATGAAAGTTACTATTAAGTACATTCATTAAATTTTTCTTATTGGAGATATTTATGATTGTTTCTAGTTAATTTAACTAATTTAAATAATATTTATCCAAATTAGATCTTGGGTTCAATTCCCGGTCTTCAGGTTATCAGCCTACAACAACGTAGAACTTCATACTTATGTACGTACATCAGATCAAGTTGCCATACCACATTTTCACACAGATACAATGGTCGATTGAAAATACCATAATGGTAGTGGTAGTAAGAGTATAAGCAGTAATCGCAAAGATTAGGGTTTGAAGATGTTATTCAAGGAGTATATTCCAGTGAAATTAATTTGGGAAAAGAAAAAGGAAAGGGACATGAAGAATTCAGAAGGTTAGAATTTGGGAGAACACAAAGAGTGGATGCAGCTGAGCCATTGCAAACTATGTTGAGCCATGTCACATTCAAGGTTTCTAACCATCAGTTGCAATCGTCTTGCAGATCCCAAACAGGTAATCTACACCCACCAACATGGATCAGTCCACTTGTCAGTGACTTCATGGATTTGTGTGATGTTTTGATCTGGCCGCCCCTATCTTTCTTCCAACTTACTCCTACACCATAGAACATCAGTCGTTAGGACAGTCGGTGGTTGGGTATATGTAACACATGTTGCAGCCATCTCAACTGATGAAGTTTCACTACTTCATCAATGGATTTGTCATCCTTACCCATTACCCGTTTCCTAACAACTGCATTACTTACTCGGTGGTCCTAGGATATACGAACAATGTTTCGAAGACACCTATGATCGAATACTAGTAGCCTACGGATATCCTCTACTCTTAGCGGCCATGTTTCGTAGCCATCATGTAGGACTTCTGGTTGTCGATACGTATTGTTGAAGAATTCTATACTAGAACGAAACAGACATGAACTACTTCCAGATTTTCAATGATTATCTAACTTAGACCTATTAATCATTTCAACAATTAACTGATTTACATATAACTAAAGAAAATTCCATCTAATCGATTCATCTATACTCGTACGATATCAATGATCACAGATATAAAATTAGTAACAAGCAGTATAGATCAATATCGTAGCTCAAATATATGTCAGTTAATTCGCGAGTTGGAGGGGGGGGCAAAGAGATAGGGTTGGAATATGAACCGACATATTTTCACGAGTGAAATCATTAATTTGCATACTTATATGTTATAATAATATTTTGTGTAATTGTGAATGATTGGAGAGAGAGAGGGGGAGAGAGAGAAATTACACATTTCTAAGGCTACTAGGTCATCTTATTACATATTAGAAACATTGAATGAAAATTGTGTGAAAAAGTTACACTTAAAGAGAACATAATAGACAGGTTCAAAATATAATCAGAGACTGTAGAAAAAAAACCAGTTTATCCATTATGAGTAAACGGTTGAATGACCTGATTGTGTAAATATTCTTAGATGAATTTTGATTAATCTTGGTCGGTAAATATAGATAATGAGTGAATTGACACAATATAGCCATTTGGTTATGAATTTTTGTAGGTTAGATGAGTTGTGGAAAGCATTAAAATCTATCAAGCTCCTTTCAATCTGGATTCGTATTCCAATGTTAGAAACTTTGACGACAAGAAACTCCAGAACTAAGCTTCGTGCTATTTGCCACTCGTCACCAAGGTGGACTTGTAATCTTTAGAGAACTAATGCTCGTTGGTGGTGGCTTTTATCCCGTGTTACCTAGCTTTGCCAGAGACCGAAAATGTCAAGTTATTTAGGGTAGCGTCCACATTGCAACATGATCGAAAGAATTTTATCAGCAGTAAGAAGGACCTGACATATATGACACTGATCACTACCCTGTGATCAATAAATTGTAGCATATAGGCCAGAGGAGCCATTATAATCAATTTTGGAGTTTTGTTCTCTGAGCTGGATGGTTTGGTCGTGAAGCGTTCATCGTTCAGAAGAACGACATCATCGGCACAAACTTCAGGTAGAACCTGATGATGACGTTCAGGAGAACAATGTAAGCACCACGACCAAACCATTCAGCTCAGAGAACAAAATCAGCCACCTGAGCTACAAATCTTCCCCACCATCTCACTATAATCAATTTTAAGCAAATTAAAGGACAAAAAATGACAAAGGAAGAAAAAGTGAATATGTTCTACGGAGCGAACTGTTGTAAACATCACAGTGAAGAATTATTGGCATCCTCTTCGACATCGTATCCATGAAAACCAATTGCCTGTCTTACTATAAAATATATTGTTCATATATATATTTAAGAAATTGTGGTCGGATGTTCACCTAGAATAGAAACAACGCGTTATTTTTAGGGACATTACACTCAAGTTGATCAACAATCAATTAACATACCAAATTCGATCCAATATATGAATCTGTTAGAAAATCCAGTTCAAAAGGAGATAACAAGTAAAGTAACTATGCAAACGATGGCTAGACAAAGATAAACAACAATTAAACAAAAGAAAGATCAACAGAACAAGGTGTCAATCATATGTTGCAAAATTCGGATAGTTCACTTTTTCGTCCAAAGAGATGCTAAACGTTTCACGAATAAACCGCTCAGTGCAGATAATGAAAGTCTATTAAAGTTCTAAGTTATTCGACAGGTAGAAGCAATAAAGTTTTACCAACATACCGAAAGTGTATAACAACAAAAAAGTATTATAAATATATTATCGATAATCGTGAGATCGCTATAAGACGGTTTAACCAACTGTAAAACAATGGAAGTAGCTACAGGATCACTTATGTTGCTAAACCTTACTAAACTTGATAAAAGGTGGGGCTAAACTAACTGACTACTTGAACCAATTGTCCAAACAACAGTCTCAACGACATCATAGTGATAATAATCATGTGCTCATTAGTGACCAGCTTTATGAGAAAATTTCCAGATCTTTAGGAAGAAGCTATGATTAGTGGAGTTCAATGGACATGATTGAGCAGTATCGTGTATTGATTGATGTTTAACTTGTATACTATTGGATACCGGTCCAATGGTCTTAAGGTTGAGTATATACGCATGAGACCGAAATTTCTTTGTTCTATTCCCGGTTGCGAAATCGTAGGTGTATAATGCTGAAAAATCCTACACTTTGATAAATTGGCTATCCAGTGCTTTCACGTTTTTAATGGTTGTTAAATTTGGATCATTTTATGTTCATACTAAAATTCAACAATCTCTATAACCTCATACTGATATTTGATTCTATTCACATGTCCTATCATTATTAGACAAACAAATGTTACATTATCATATCCAGTTTTTATTCATTTAAACATATAAACATTGGTACAAGGGGGCACCAAATAGATATGAGCCACATAAATCATTCGATTTGTGTAAGGGCTGGGATACTACCCGGGTGCTCAAACCGAACCAGGTGGTTTTCTGAAGAGGCCAAACCCGGAGCCTTTGACCTAAAGGTCTGATCCAAAAGGCAATAGAACAACGTCATGAGATGCAGTCATATGGTAGACGGTGACTAACAATAAGTTCATGCGCCATTTGTTCCTTCAGGATACTGGAGTCCATGTGTACCAGTGATTTGTAATCAGGGTTTTCCACCTCTCATAGGTGAACTCTTAGTGTCC